CTGTAGCCATATTTACAGTTGGGGCAAGGTGCAGTTGTTGGGGTCAGGTGCAGTGGTGAACAATGGTGGGATGGTGGGGAGGTCAGCATCCAGGTGTGGTGAGATGGGGGAGATGCAGTGTTTCGAGGGGGTCACAGGAATGGTGTTGAAGCTGGAGAAGTTGGGATGGGAGGGTTGGGGGAGGACAGTGTATAGGAACAGGCGTAGTGGTGAGAGCAGAGGCAGGGGACACAGGGGCAGTGATTAGAGAATGGCTGTGCAGGTGTGGACACGAAAGCATGGATGGGGTTGAGCAGGCACTGTGGTGACATTGGGGGAGGGTGCAATCAGGTGTGGTTTTAAGAACAAGGAGTAGGGGGTTCAAGTGTAAATGAGGTGTGTTGGTGATGGGGGCTTTTGGTGGCAAAATGGTAGCTGTAGGGATGGGGGCCTGAGATCACCATGTGGGGCAGGATAGAGGTCAAAAGTGGTGGAAAGAAAAGAGGGGCTGCTGGCAGAGTGTTGAGAGCACAGCTAGTCCATTCCTTGGGTCGAATGATATCATGTATGCGCTCCTTCAGTCTGGGTTCTTTTTTTGTCCTGTGTGTTGATCTTTACATATTGCCCTATCTAGGGCAAATTGTTAAATGTAAGCTGCATTTTTTTTAACTTCTAACCATCTAAGCTATGTTTTATAGTTATCCTTTCCTCATAAGGCCATCCTTGATTTTGGTCAAGCAAATGCAAACTGGGTGCTAACTTAGACAAGAAAGAAGTCATAGGACCCAACACCACTTTGTCCCTATGCAAAAAGCAAAAAGGATTCCTGCAAGATAAGACCGCCAGCTAAGGAACTTGGTCTGAACAGGTAATAGCTACAATGAATACCACCATGTAGGTGAAAGACAATTGCAGTCAGCAACAAAAAACATTCAGCAACAAGCAGGAAATGTGCCCTGTGAAATTATTATTATTACTGGCATTATTGATTTATGCACACTATACACATTTAATCACATCAGTCCCGGCCTCGAGGATAAGGTTACAAGGTTTTCAAAATGAAATCTGGAGACACAGTACTGACTATGCCAACTTAAAACCACACCCAAAAACATGACCCCATTGTACCCACATTCACAAGTCACCCCCCCATTTTTGACCTCACGCAATTGGTTGCAGACTTTTGGAACATGAGCTAGACATTTAGGATATAGAGACAAAACAAACAGATTTCAAATAAGAGGCACCAAGATTTGCATGCATAGTTAGGAGAGATGCCTTAAATGCATTAGGGTACTTGGAAAAAATGATTGCCAAACACATGTGGACATAGCCAACAAAGTCTGTGTCACTTCACTATGTATGGCATTTAGTGTGGGAGTACACACTACAAAACATACAAGACCACCAGGGTGCAGCCAGATAGCCTTGCAAGACCCTATTAAAAAGTAATAAAGGTTTTAAGAAAACTTTTAAAAACTTTAAAAATACAAATGTTATTATTAAACTCATCCTACATTTTTAGTTTTAGTTGAAAACTTGCCATTCACTTTCATTCACAGTGCAGGGCTCAGGAGTAAGTAACACAGAGTGCAGGGTTCAGGAATAAGTAATGCAGCAGTTTGCAGGGGTCAGAACTACGTAATGCAGAGCGAATGGGTCAGGAGTAAGTAAATCAGAGTGCAGAAGTAAGCAGGTAATGCAGAGTGCATGGGCAGGTGTAAGTAACATAGAGTTCAGAGGTTAATAGTAAGTAACGCAGAGTACAGGGTAATAGGTAGTGTAGTGCGCAGTGGTCAGAGTAGTAAGTAACACAGTGATAAATGGTTATTTTAGTAAGTAACACAGAGATCAGGGGTGAGAGTAGTAAGTAATGCAAAGTGCAGGGGTCATACTAGGAAGAAATGCAGAGTGCAGGGGTTAGAGTAATAAGAAACACAGAGAGTAGAAAGTAATTCAAAGTGCAGTGGTAAGTGTAGTAAGTAATGAAGAGCTCTGAGATCAGAGTAGTAAGTAACACAGAGGGCAGTGGACAGAGAAGTAAGAATGCAGATCTCAGAAGTCAGAGAAGTAAGTAATTCAAATCTCCGAGGTCAGAGCATTGAGTAACGCAGGGTGCGGGGGTCAGAATAGTATGTAATATAGAGTTAAGTGTAGTAAGTAACGCAGAGGGCAGTGGTCAGAGTAGTAAAAATAAAGACCTCAGAGGTCAGAGTAGTAACACAGAGTGCAGGAGTCAAAGTAGTAGGTAACTCAGAGGTCAGAGCAGTAATCGACGCAGTGTGCAGGGGTCAAAGTAGTAAGAATCACAGATCTCAGAGGTCAGAGTAGTAAGTAATGCAGATCTCACAGGTCAGAGTAGTGAGTGATGCAGAGTTCAGGGGTCAAAATGGTCTACAGAGTGTCAGCACGTAAGTGTGTCACATGATGTTAGTGTGGCTCCTTCCCCTCACCTCCTTGGCCCTGTTGCTCGATGTCATCAGTTCAAGGTGCCTGGTGGCCGATCATTGGCAGGCCAGAACAAGCAGAGCCCCCACAGTAAATAGAGACCACTGCAACAAGCCGCTGTGTCTATCCAACGTCATGCTAAGGTCGGAGCCTCTTCTGCACCTTGTGACAGGTTGACCTGACAACCACCAATCGTTGAACACAAAGCCCCACTGCCTCTGCCATTTTACTGGATCCCAAAGCTGAGTAGTGGGGTTCAGCAGTGTCTATACTTCCAAACTTTCCTGGCAATGTCCTCTGTGGAACTGCAGAGAAAAAAAGTAAAAGGAGGAGTGGCCATTTGCATTTAAAACCAAGAAACCCAATCCTCATCCCTACAGCAATCCTACACCACCCCTTTCTCTGTTGAAGCCGAACCAAAATACCTGGTGCTCCACTGATGATGTCACTTTAATAATATTGTTTCTTCTAAAAGCTTTGATTAGTTATAGACATGTTTTCCAATCCATCTTTCTACTGTGCATATTAGTAGAAGTGAATGTAGAAGCCACTACTCACGGCAGAAAAGGTAAAGGAAAACATGCAGATATGTTGACTTTATGAAGTGATAAAAGCAAGCAAGCAGGCAGCAATCGCGGCATGGAAAGTTTGCCTTGTCCCTCTTAGCATCTTGAATATGTTAAATGTTCTATTCTTCATCAATGTTAGTATGACCACTATACATGATGTCTTTTGAAAGAACCATCTGACAACACACAATAAACTTACTCGTCTACATAAATTCCCCTTTTAGAGAGGGAAGGCTTTAAGCATTGCCTTGCTATATTGCTGCAGCATCCTGCAGATTACAAGAAGTAGGAACAAGTGTAGACAGGAGGCGTGCTCTTATCCTATCTTTGACACAAGATACCACAAGGATATTTTGTACTCAGCTTATGAGCAGGATGCAGAGAAGACACAGAACACCCAGGATGTAAGTGCATGGCTTAGCAAGGACTTCATTCGCAGGTCAGTGACATATAATTGCCATTGAACACCATTTTGCCATATCCTTTCTCAGTTCCATTTTGCAGTCCTGGCTCCTTGACAGTAATCATGGCCTTCACTTCTCTCTACTGTACAAGATGTCTTTTTTTTTTTCTTTGCCTTCAAACCATTCTTTTGTGTAATCTATCTTATGTCATGTACTTTTTACATCACTTTGAAGACAGTGCCCTCTATGTGTATTAATCTGTTAACTCTGTTAACAAAATGTCCTTCATTTACCTTTGAAAAATTATATGTTTGATCCAAAGCATAGCTGTATACAGCATAGCCTCACAGACACAGCCTTAGGTTTTTATAATTTAGCATCTCAAATGATTTATCCATATTTGAGTTATTGAAGTGTAGCTGCAATTTAAATTATATAGTGCTTGGCAAGTATACCTGCACCATGTAAGACTTGTCATATGTTTCAAAGACAGCACAAAACCTAGCTACATATAAAATACTATAAATATATCCTATAACACTAATCAAAATACATCTGATGTAAAGAAAAAGAACAATCCTACATATACTGTATTTGTTGCATATCATTTTTATTTAGGTCTTTAGATTATGAAGATGTGACTCTAGTAACTATTCTCAGTGTCACCCTAAGAAAGATAAATGGATTGACAGTATTCTCTCTCAACCCTTCATTGCAATGACAAAAGCTGCATTAGTAAACTGCACGTGTTCACCAAGATTTAGTATAATTTGATTCTACTTATAAGAGGTCCAAAAAACTCTGTACAGGAATACATCTCTATGTTACATGGATGGTTCAATCCAATGCAGTTTGCCCATTCCAGCCATAATACTAATATTGCAACCTGCAAGTGCATCAGTGCTCATCTGTTATCTGCCACTGGGAATAAAGACTTTGACTCTACAGAAACCTGCAAACCAAATCTAGATAGTTTTAATTATGGTGCACATATAGGTGGCAGTGGCAGCAAAAAAAAAAAAAGTTTATATTTCTTTGAATCCACCAGTAGGTGGCATTTGTCAGTGGTGATCGGTAATGAAAATCAACGGTGACGTTTCCAGGACTTCTATATTTATTTATTATTGGTCTTTTTATAGCGCTTTACATACTGCACAGTTCCTGTTCTCGAGGAGCTTACAGTCTAAGGTCCCTATCTCAGATGTATACAGGGCCGATTTAGACAGGAGCCATGTAAAGTTCCAGTATGTCTTTGGTGTGTGGGAGGAAAGTGGAGTACCCAGTGGAAACCCACGCAAGCACAGGGAGAACATACACACTCCTTGCAGATTGTGTATATTTTTAACCCCTTGCTGTCACGGGCACGCGCTTACAGGATCACGCCGGTAATGTGTACAGCCCATACCAGCTGTTATGTACAAGCATTCGGCCGGCTCTACAGCTCGCTTGTATTACCCTGCATTGTGCGGGTCCCCCCCTCTGCTGCTGCGCCCCCCCCCCTCTGATGC